AGATCTGTTTTGGAAGAAGTGCAGCCAGAGTACTCCTTGCAGCATACTTCGGACATATTGTCAGGAGGGACCAGTTGCTGGAGAAGGATATCATGTTTGGTAAGTGTGGAGGGTTAGAGAAAAAGAGGAAGACCCCCAATGAGATGGATTAGTCAAGTGGCAGCATTGATGGACTCAAGCGTGGCAACAGTAGTGAGGTTGGCCCAGGATCAGGCATTGTTTCATTCTGCTGTGCATAAGGTCATTATGAGTTGGTACCGACTCGATGGCACCTAACAACAACATTGATGAGTTCCAGTAATTTTCTTGTGGAATCTTTGAGATTTTCTAAGTATAGGATCATGTTTTCAGCAAATAGAATTTTACTTCTTCTTTGACAATTTGGATAACTTTAATTTCCTTTTCTTGTCTTATAGCTGTGGCTAAGACTTCCAGCACAATATTGAATAGGAGTGATGATAAAGGGCATCCTTGTGCAGTTCCTTTTCATAAAGGAAATGGTTTCGGTTCTCTCTGTTGATAATGATGCTGTTGGTTTTGTATATATGCCCTTAATTATGTTGAAGAATTTCCCTTCTGTTCCTATTTTGTTCATTTATATATTAGATAAAACAGAGACCCTCAAAGAAAGTAGGAAGCAACTTTGTTACATTGAAGAATGTCTCTAAGATTACTTTTCTTACCTTAATGTTGTGAGAATAATGCCTATTTTGTGTTTGTTTTGAAGTTAAAATGAGATCGTATACATAAATTTTTTAGCACAACATGCATGTATCATAAATACTCAACATTCCCAAAATAAAATTAATTTTTAAAAAATTACCCTGGAGTCGTACCCTGATTAGTATGTTTCATTTCAGGCAATTTTTTATATGGGACTTCCTTTGCCTTCTGAATTCATTTATATGAATTGTTCATTTTAGCACTTAGGTAAAGCTTTTATTTGTCTACTGTATACAAGAAGTATTTGCATGTAGTACTCTAATGCTGAATACTCTTTGGGCCCTTATTCTCATTTGGAGACTGTTTTATCCCCACTGGATATTTGGCAATATCTGTAGACATATTTGCTTGTTGCAATTTAGGGAGTACAACTGGCATCTAATAGAGGCAAAGGATACAACTGAACAAAATGTCAGTAGTTGAGAAATCTTGCTTTAGGGTTTCAACTATGAGAAACATTCAGTTTGTTTCTTCAAGCAGTGGCATTTAATTTGGCCTTCAGAAAAGACTCCAACTTCATCTTGTGGAGAAGTAAATGAAATATCTTATAAGCAGAGGGGAACCAAATAATTAAAGTCAGAAAAATTCTTGTATTGTTTGATTTTATTCGTGTACTCGTCTTCTGACTTCCAGATTAGATAAAAGTGAGAGAATGCAACACACTATGCTCCTGCCATTTCCTAGTATATGGCCAACTTTGCATTCAATAAATACAAGGATGAATGAAAGCTTACTGCTACTCAGGTTCCATGCATACAGGCACAGGTTCATTTCTAATAAATAAATACAAGGATGAATGAAAACTTACTGCTGCTCAGGTTCTGTGCATACAGGCACAGGTTCATTTCTAACCAGACATGTTTAACCATGTCTCTGCTATCAGTGGATGGCTGCAGCTGCAGATAGATTGCCCTAGTCTCATTTAGGCACCTTTTTATTAAAAAAAAACAACAAAAAAACAAGGATTTTTTTTTTTCCTGCTATGGAACAAAAATGATTTTGAGATAGGGGCTAATATAAAATTTTCAGTAGACCCAAGAGGACATTTTCCCAAATCATTGAAGCTTTACAACAAGTTTTTGACAATACCCTCCCACAGAATGCAATGAATTTTAGAAGGATCAAGCATTTTAGTTAATGTCTGGAAGACCTCAAAGATGAACCAAGAGAGGGAAAATGGTCAATCCTGAGGGATGAAGAAACTGACTGATGTCCAGAAATTGATGGAAGACCATAGTATTAGCATTGATGCATTAGCTACTGGAGTTGGGATCTCACATGGCTCGACATTTTCCATTTTAAGCCTTACTTAGCAAGTTTTCTGCTGGCTGGATGCCAAAAGCATTGTTTGACGGTCAGGTAGCTCAAGATGCTGATTTTTTTCTTCTGTCTTTTAAGCAAGATCGACGTCTACTGGACATGATTTTATGTAATGAATTTTAATTAGGGAGAAGTCTTGCAGTAATTAATATTGTCCAGAGAGCGTGATGCAGTCAGAATGTTGGTTTCTGAGGTGTCTACTGGGCCAGTTAAATTCAAGGCATGGAGGTCAGCTTGGAAATTTATGGCAACTATCTTTTGGGATTCCAAAAGCATAGTGTTGATAGATTTTTTTCAAAGGACACAGGAATATAACTAGGATTTGTTATGAAGACGTCTCAAGGAAACAGAAAACTGAATTGTTGAGAAAAAGGCCAATAAGTTGTGCTGAGGGGCTTCTTTCAGTTAGGGCAATACAGTACTCATTTTTGGAGGGTAGCTAGGGCTGACCTATGAGAATTTTGTTTTAAAACTTTACCCAACTTACCCTACAGCCTTGATCTTGCCCCTTCAAATTTGTCCCCAAAACTCAAAGAACATTTTAGATGAACACAGTTTGTGTCCCTTGAGGATGGTAAGCTTGCTGTTTTGTCATGGTGTGGATCAAAGAGTCCAAATTCTTTTCTGAAGGATTAGAGAGATGGAGACACTGGCTTCACACCTATATGTTGAAAAATAATGGCCTCACAATTTCATATTTATGTTTAATACAGGTTTCTATGATTTTGTTGTTGAATTGAAAGATCATTTCTAATCCCTTCTACCTTTTTCTTTTTTTAGTTACCCTTTTGATGAGTTGAAAAATAATTTGTAATCCCTTGCACCTTTTTCTTTTTTTTAGTTACCCTTTTGATGTAACTCGTCGACGGATGCAATTAGGAACTGTTCTGCCAGAATTTGAAAAGTGCCTGTAAGTTCTTCATATGTCATTGTTCATTTAAGCTCTATAATGTTTAAACACATGGGTAGATAGAACTTGGCCTTACCAATAGTCTAAATCTTTTGTTTTATCTCAGTAGTATACCTTGGAAAGTTTATATGCTTTCAAGTAGGTCTCAATCCTTTTCTTTAAAATTTTATCTTAGAGTTTCTCTGTCTAATAAAGATATAACATATAGCATATATGTAATTATAGTATGTAGCCATACATAAATTAAAATTTCCACATAGCCACAGTTTAGAAAGTATAAAAACAAACAGATGAAGCAAAGTTTGAAAGTATTTTTTATTTAACTAAATAGAGCATTGTTATTTCAACATTTGATTATTTGACATTGTAATTTTGTACTTAGGGTTTAAGATCCAGAGTGTATCTTACACTTACAGCACATGACTATTTAGATAGATTTCACATACTCAGTAGCTACATGGCTAGTAGCTACCCTGTTGCACTGCACAACACATCTCTTGGTTTTAGATCTGTAGAGACTTAAAATCATTTTTTTTTTGGTAATAGGTTGTCCCTCAAGGGAAGAAGAGAACATATGTTTGGGACTTTGGAATACTATTGTTAACCTAAAGCTTCGTTTGAATATTTCAGTCCAAATTGTATATAAGTAGAAAAGACAAAACCCAAAATGTTTGCTTAAAGTACATAAATGAAACTATTTGCAAGGAAAAAAGGTCTTCATTGCTAAAATTTGAAAAATGAACTTTGAAGCTTTAGCTACAGCGATCTGTTTATTATAATACAGAACCTGAGTTGAGACGCAAGTTTAATGGCAACTGCTGAGACAGTCTTTAAAAGGACTACATCATAAGCTCTTTCTAACATGAAATAGGGTTGTCTCTCAACTTCACAGATACAGCATAAACAAAATGCCTTGTGCTAATGAGCCCCTGATTCTCTGCATAATGCACTTGTTTGGAATGATTTGCTGTTTTATTGTGATTTTTTTTTTACCTTGTTATAATACTTGTCTTACAAATGCTATGGCATGTTTTAAAGAAGCTAAAATGCTATATGGACTGTGGAATTGTCTCTTCATTAGTAGACAGAGGTTGTTATTATGTAACCACGCTAATCTCTTTCAGTACCATGCGGGAGACCATGAAGTATGTCTACGGACACCATGGAATTCGGAAAGGATTATACCGTGGTTTATCTCTGAATTACATTCGTTGCATTCCCTCTCAAGCTGTGGCTTTTACAACATATGAACTTATGAAGCAGTTTTTTCACCTCAACTAAAAAAAAAATAATAATCCTGTTTTCTCCACCTCAGTATACTTACTGCCAGAGGGTAATATAAAATGTTACTTTAATTTGGGGGAACATTACTTGAAAGGAAAGGAAATACTCTGTCAAAGGAATCACTGGTATTTTCGTACTTGATCTTTTTTTTTTTTTTTTTGTCTTTGAGTTTTTTTTGGGTGGGGGTGCTTACCATACTTTTTTTTGATGCCAAAACTTAGACTTTAGGACATTGAAAAACAGTTCCTAAGCTGATGCTGGCTTATCACTTAGGTTACTTGAAACTTTTAAAATATTATTTGGAAGTCAAACTCACTTCTACGCAGTTTCAAGAGGTTGCCATTAGCTTTATCATGCTGTTTGAAGCTTTTAGTTGTAATCATGATTTCTTCAGAAGAATACAACATTGTTTATTATTCTTGAAATGACAGGCTTGGTTACATTGTAGCAGAAAGATGAGATCTGAGTTTTTCAGTTCTATGAGACACAGTTTTAAAACCAGCATTGCAGTGTTATTATTTTTCTTTTTGTAATTCTTCTCCACTTTATAAAAGGATAATTTTTTTCAAGGAAAATAAAGATTATGTAAAAAGTAGTCACGTAGAAATTGAACAATAAATGAAAAAATTTCAAGTATTGTTCAAATGTTACTACCAGGTATGATGGGAGATTTGCATTTTATTTGCATTTTTATTTTTGTCTAAATTTTATTTATTTTGTTGTTGAGAATCTGCACAGCAAAACAAAAAACTTTTCAACAGTTTCTGCAAGTACAATTTAGGGTATGGATTACAGGTTTTGAGGTTTTGAGGTGTGAAACCGTTCTTAACATCCTTTTCTGAATTGTTCCTCATTAACATAAACTAACATAAACTTCATTAATATAAACTAACTGCCCCCTAAAATTTGTTTAGTCTTTTGAGTTGCTGTTGTCAACTTCATTCTATATCAATAGTTTTAAAAATAGCGTATTGCTGAAGGCAAACCTATTTTAGTAGTTCATGCATGTGTTTTTAAAACTCATTATTTCCCATAGGTAATAACAATAATACTGGATGTCCGTGCTTCCAAACGCAGTATAGATTGGTTTTTTTAGATGATTTGGTGTATACTAGAAATATTATTTAAAAGGACTGTGAAATGCCCATTCATGTAGGTGAAAGAATAGTTCTGAGGGATTATGTTATGATGTATCAGTTAGTTCTTCCATGTAAAATAATTTTAGTGCAATATAAATGGAAGTAAATATGTAAAAATATGATTTGAACTATTATCCTTTATATTAAGAAAATTGTTTAAAATGTTAGAATTCTGTTGTTTTTATAGTACTTTTTATGTTTTACTATAAGCATGACAAATATGGGCAGGGAACAATAATAGCTCTATTCTTAGAAATATTGATTTGTAGAATTGATGTGATTTTTAAAAGATATTCAACTAAGTTGAACAATTAGAAGACAACATGTAATTTCTGCTTCAATTTTATTTTTTCATAAAATATTTCTTGTCATATCTTGGTAACAATTTGATGGACTGGTTTCATTTTTAGAGTCCTTATTTTAAAGTAAATGTGGATCATTTAAAGATGTTAAGTAGAGGAGCAGGTAGAAACATGTATGTTCCTAAAAGTATTTTGTATCATTTCATTTTTGGGCTACACTGTAGCTAAATATTGTTATCAAATCTTAAGATAATTTAAGTTTATATAATAACAATCTCAGTCATGTTATCAATGAAAGCAGACTGCAAATATTTTTTTAAATAAAAATTTCTATTCTATGTCTGATAGAGAATACATAGGATAATAAAAAATACATTTTACCCATGTTTCCACATTATTTCTTTTAATTACTTTCATTATTCAAGCACAAATGCTGAACACAAATTAGAATGGAAGAATATTTAGAATTATGATGTATTTCATATAGGTAGCGCAACATCTTGCCAGGTTATCTACCATTTGAAGACTGACTATTCGTTTATTTATCCTCTCTGTTGTTCCACTTTACTGACGTTTCTATGTGTAATCCTTTGGTCTACAGATGGGACAGTGATCTGGTTTGGGGGTTGATAAAAGACACATCTCATCCTCAGCTCTCAGTTGTTAGCTCTGCAGAGAGCAGTGATGACTGGGTATACAATGATACCTTATGTCATTCTCCCCTAAGCTAGTGGACGGTCATTTATACAGCATCCTTTGTTTGCCATGTGTCAAGCACTGTGGGAGCCTTCTCCTGGGAAACCTATTGGCTGCTCCACAGTCTGATTTGGATAACAGAGATGGAATAGGAGTTTGCTCCGTGCACTCCTCGCATCGACCTGGCATTGCAGTATCTCCAGGAATGGTGCACCCCCCCTTCGGGGAGTCCTGGTGTGGTGTTGTGGGTTGATGCATCAGACTGAAAAGTCGTTTGAACTGCAAGGTCGGTAGTTCAAGCTCACCAGATGCTCCTCAGAACCCTATACAAGGTCACTATTGGTCAGAATCGACTTGATGGCACTTAACAACAACAGCAAGTCTCTCACAGTTCCACACTTGATAGTGATTGCCTGCTTACCTGTATCTCCCATCTGGTTTCCTCAAGGACAGAGCCTTTCCTTCATCTCTATTGAGAAGCAAAAGGTATGGTACCATCATAGGGGCTCAGTCAGTGTTTACTGATGGGAACCTATTTTTAGAAACTTCTAGTAAGGGGAAATGAAGCACAAATATTTCAAATAAAGAACAATCTAGAAATATTCATTTGGATTATTTCAGAGATTTTGTGTTGCTAATTTGAGCCAGGATGAGTGGCAAATAATACACAGTAAAATATACATTAAATAATAAAAAACCTTATTATTTAATGTATGTTGTGTGATATTGCATCATAATAGACAATCTATACAACTGTATATGCAACATATAATACAAGTATATAAATGGACCATTCATATCTAGCATACTTGTATGGCAACTATATCCTTTACACAGTTTCTCATATTCATTCATACATTCTTCTCATTCATTCAAAAAAATACTTACTGAAGCCAGTCACAAATAATTAACAGTAATGTATATTCCCTGAGTGCTTACTATGTGCCATGCCTTGTTTTAAGCACGATTGGTACATTAACCAATCGCCCGATGCTTTTGAGTTATGGTGTTATAGGAGAATACTGAAAGTGCCATCATGGGCTGCCAAAAGAATCAACAGGTCTGTGTTGGAAGATTTGCAGCCAGAGTGCTCCTTGGAGGCCAGGATGGTCAAACTTCGTCTCTCATACTTTGGACATATTGTCAGGAGGGACCAGTCGCTGGAGAAGGATATCATGTTTGTTAAGGTGGAGGGTCAGAGAAAAAGAGGAAGACCCCAGTGAGATGGATTGGCAAAATGTCAGCATCAATGGGCTCAAGCGTGGCAACAATTGTGAGGTTGGCCCAGTGTTTTGTTCTGTTGTGCATAAGGTCTCTCTGAGTCGGTATGACTCCATGGCACCTAACAACAACAACAACAATGAATGAAATATGAGTGATATTTCATAATATTTCATTCATTGTTGTTGTTAGGTGCCATCGAGTAGTAAAGGATGTTGTTAGGTGCCAAGGAGTAGCAAAGGATGAGTTTGGAGAAGCAGGTAAGGGCAAACAATATGGCAGTGATTTTGTTTCTTATACTAAATGCAGGGAAGCCATTGAACACTGTCAGTAGGGAAATAAAATTATCTGATTATAATTTTACAAAGATCACTGCTTTGTCAACAATGGTTTATAGAAACTAGAAATCAGTAAAAGTAAAAAGCAAAGGCACATTATTTATAGTATCAAAACTGATCATATCGAGTCCTGGTGTTGCACTGTAGGCTAAGCATTAAAAAGGTAAGGGGTTTAAAAATAACTTTGTCAAGGAATTTGACAACTTAGATGAAGTGGACAAATGCTGTGAAAAACACAATTTACCAAAACTGACATCAGTGAAACAGTGCTTACTAAAAACATTGCATTTATCATAAAAAATCTTTCCACAGAAGTAAAATTTTGAAACTCTATGTTTATAGGGTTAATGTGTTGAGACCTAGTTTCAGACAGTGAGTTCTTACATATTCTGCCAATATAGCACAGGAAACAGTAGACAAAATAGACAGATTGCACATTACCCACAAAGTGAACGGACAGGCTACAAAACGGGAGAAAATACTTGATAACCATGTCCAAGTAGTCCCCATCTATTACATATTTGAGTTACAAAGAACCTCTGTCCATTGTTTTTTGTGTGTGTGCTTCTAATCACTAGTAATATATATACTGTGTGGCAAGTGATTTGCTGATTTGTTTTATTCTCAGATGTAATGTTTCCAACCCCAAAAGACAAAGATCAGATGTATCAAATACTGATAACAAAAGGTTATAATAATGAAAATAAAATGGGGCATTTAATATATGTTAGAACCAACTTATGACAGTCTTTCAAAACGGAATTCCATAGTAAGTTGGAGACCACGTGTATCTCATAAGGATTTCATGTCCAGAATCAATAGTGGTATTGTTACAGTTGGACTCCTGGTGTGGTGCTGAAGGATCAGCCCTAGACTGCGAACCACAAGGTAAGCAGTTCAAGCCCATCAGCTGCTCCATGGAAGCCTTATATAGGGTCGCTATGAATCGGGTCTGATTTGATAGTACTTAACATTTGTTACAGTTAAGGATAATTGATTTGTGGGGGAATTAAAAATTAACAAATTTTGACTACGTTGCGAAAGTGTTCCTATTTTTTAAAAGATGCATCTGTAATAATAGATACATATCAAAGTACATGGGGAGCTCAGTGGTGCCATACGATAAGCAGTGGACTGTGTACCACAAGTTTGATGGTTCAAGCCTACCAGCTGCTACGTGGCAGCTTTACAGCTGCTCCTGTAAAAAGATTTAAAGCCTCTAGTTCAAGAATGGGGAATTCCAGCAGACACACTATAAACGGACTCTCTACATCAAAGATAAGAGAGACAAAATGAAACAGACACATGAAATTCAACAGTATTTGCTTCTATTCCCTGTTTTTCTTTCTTTTTTTGGTGGGGGTGGGTGGGAATAGGGAGGTATACACAGAAACACCCAGAATATATAATAATTT